ATCCACCACTGTCACCCAAATACTGAATGTAGCTTTGGAGCTATGTTCGGGGGGAGCGGTCACATGGAGCCCAAGGTTTGAACTTGGGAAAACTGAAACCCCACCAACTAAAGGGACACAGTTTCTGTCTCTTTAAAGGCAAACAGTTCCTCCCCTGGCTCCACCCAATCTCAGCTTCCTGGCTCAGTGGCTGGGGGTGGGAGGGGTGAACACTGTGTCCTTATAGTTAAAGCAGAAGCAGCAGCTGAAAGTGCTTCGTCGGGGAAAACCCGGGAACTGGTCAGCAGGTTGAACAGAAGGTGAGCCTGCCTTCGAGGGCAGTGGGGCCAGGGCGTGGGCAGGGGGTGGCTGTTGTCCGAGGAGGGAGCAGGGACTGTGCCAGCCCCACAGTGCAGGTGGGTACTGTCACAGGGTAGTGGTTAGGGGGTGGGGAGGGGAGTGAGGAGCTGGGTAATTGGCACAATGTCATGGGTCTCATACTGACAGGACACGTGTGTTGACACGGGTATCTTCCTGCGTTTGCTGGTGTGGTGAACACTGATGCTACTGCTGAGCCTTCCTCGTCACTTGATGGGAAACTGGTGTCCCTAGGGCAGGTGTTCAGGGCTGTCAGCCATGTAGAAACCAGGCCATCCAAGTGCCTCTGTTCACTGCCACGATCTCAGGTCCTGTGGTAACCCTGCAGGGGTAGGCTAGGTCCAAGGTAGCAGAGGAATCTAGGACTCAGGGTCAGTCACTCAGCAGAGGGAAGGGGGGCCCCACTGTGTGACATGTATGGTGAGGAGGTGAGGTTGGGGAGAGGTGAGAAGGGTGCTAAGGGCTCTTGTGCAGAAGCAGCCCAGAGATATCCCCTGTTCCCACCCACAGCCAGCGTCCCCACAGTTTTCAGTTCTGGGAGAGTGGGGGCACCCGTTCCCGCCTGCTCCCCATCGAGCTCTGACCTGTGGGGTTTTAGAGTCTGCAGCCCAAGAAGGAGCAGGGCAGAGGCTGCTGTGGCTTGTGGTCAGGGGAAAGCTGTGGTCACACAGACTCCAACTGGGCCCCTGCTCTGCTCAGTACCTGTGAGCACCATGACCTTGGGCGAGTGTCTCAGCATAGTTGAGCCACATCATGTCCTTATTGTGTAAGTTAGAATGAAGCCCTGACCAGGTGGCTCAGTTGTTTGCTGTGTTGTGCCCCACACCCAAAGTCTGTGGGTTCGATACCCGGTCAGGGCGCATCCCTGGTTGGGGTGCGAAAGGAGGCAGCCCATCCATCCATGTTTCCCATTCACATCGATGCCTCCCTCTCTCTCGCTCCCTTTTTTCCTTTCTAAAATCAGTAAATGTGTCCTCAGGTGAGGCTGAAAAAGAGGTTAGAATACTAAAGTGAGCTTCCTTGCGGGCCAGTTTTGGGGAGTAAATGAGATAATGTGAAATAATTTATCAGGGTGCTGGGTGTATAGTATTCAGGAGTGGTTATGCTACACCCAGGGTAAATTTTTTTACTGTGGAAATATTTTAAGTGATTCAAAGGTAAAGGCAGTCATACCAGGAACTTCCACAGACCTAGAGCAAGCTTCACCAATCACCAGGTGATGCCGATCTGGTTTCATCCATAGACTCGCTACTCCCCCCGGCCCCACAGGTTTTGAAACCATTGAGAAATACTGTCATCCTCAGACTTCAAAAAGCAAATAGAATAAAAAATACCAGTTACAATTGGATTTTCCTGATTGTCTCATAATTTTAAAAATTGTTTGAGTTGGATTCAAATAAGATCCATAAATTGTAATTATTTGATGTGTCTTAAGTTTAAATTAATATATCAGTTCCCACATTCTCTGTTGCTTTCTGGGAGATTTCTCTGGGTAAGAAAGGGGGGTCTCCTGTCCAGCAGAATCGGGCTGTGTGTGTTCTGTCGGTTCCATCAAAGGTGTCAGCTCTCCTGCTCCTCCCGTTCCAACGTCCGTGTGAATTTAGTGCTAAGGGGAAGTGTGATCAGATTCTAGTTGGTCTGATTTTGGGGGAAAATGCTTCATAGGTGCACCAGTAAACTCCCATCAGAAGGCACATGACAGCTGGTTGTCTGTGACATTAACTGACACTAATGGCGGCCTTAGTCTCATTAAGGGTCACAACTGATGACACTCAAATGCTGTCATCCCTTCCTCCTGTGTTGGGTGGAATAATCCTGTGAAAAGACTGCTCCCCTCAAGCTCTCTCTCATCTCCACGAGGAGCAGGTGTGTGAGAGACATAGATGAATGCCTGACTCTTCCCCTTTGTGTGTCCATGTGCAGAGCAGGGAGATGCTTTCCAGCAGATGCCCGAGGGAGCAATGGGCCACTTTGAAGAAGGCATTGCTATGACCCCATGGATTTCAACATACTTGATGCATTTCATTTCGCTGGAATTATTATTGGTGTTCAAGTTGTCCCATCTGGGTCCAGTTGGATTCTCCTGAACTGGCCCTCAGTCCCTGTGATGAGATGCTAGTGAGTGGTGAGCACACCCGGGCTCTCTGGCTGACGAGGGCATGTGGGCCCCCCACACAGGTGTCCAGCCTGGCCCTGGAATTGGTGCTTTCTCCTCAGAGCCCTGACCTTTGGTGGGAAATGGCCTCTGAAGACCATTTTCCACACTTGGGTAGAGAGGCACTTCTCAGTTCTTTGCACAGCTGGTTAGTCCTTCTCAGTGTGAATACGCCTTAGTTTATTCAACCCGTTGTCTACTGCTGTCCTTTTGATAACTTCTTGTTCTTGTGCTGTTACAAATAATGATGCAGTCAAGATCCTCATTATGATTCTTCTGCAATTTTTGTCAGCGTAGTTTATGGATGAAAGCTGAAACTTGGGATTGATAATCACAGGGAAGATGCATGTGGACTTTGCACAGTATTGCTGGCTTCTCCTCCGCGGGGTTGGACTGTGTTTCCCTGCTCCCCAGCCGTGCAGGGGAGGACCTGCGGCCCCCACCCCCTCCAGCTGACTCTCAGCACAGTCTGCAGTTCTGCCAGACCTGGAGGGGACAAACAGCTTCTCACCTCAGAAACAGAGGTGTGATTTTAAATTACTTCATTTAGATATTTTATATTTTGTGTTTTGATTTATTTTTCTTTATAATGAATGTATGTTAATGTCTGGATATATTCAAGGCACATTTAAATTTCTTTTTCTCAGAATATTGATTTCCATCTTTTGATCCATTTTCCATCAAGTTGTTGAATTTTTGTTTCTGTGGTTTTCAATGTTCTTTGTGTAATAGGAAATTTCACCCCCTTTGATATAAGTTGGAAACTGTTTTTTCCCTAGTTTGACATTTTTGCTTTAATTTGTCTCTGGTGTTTCTTGTCTCACATCATCTGTGAGATTTGTATGCAATCAAACTTATTAGTCCTTTTTCTTAGTCTGTGGCAAGTCTTAGACATATTTCCTCTACCCCCAGGTTACAAAGAACCTGTCCACGTTGTTTCTAGTATTTCCATGGATTCGATTTTCCATGTAAACCTGGAGGATAACTGAAATTGGATCAAATGTCTTTTCTGCGTCTGGGTAGTTTTCTTCTTCAGCTATTAATGGGTTGTGTTGTAACAACCAAGTTTTCATATGAACCATCCTAGTATTTCTGAAATAAATCCCACTTAATCATGGTGTATACTTTTCTTTAAGTTTAATAATTTAGTAAGTATTTTTGTATTACTGCTTCCAAATGAGACACACCTGTAGCTTTATTGATTGGTGAAATCTTGGTTAGCCTTTGGGACCAATATTATATTTTATTTGCAGAAAGAACTGAAACTTTCCCTTCTTTTGTGTGTGATCAGGAACAGCTCAGGGAGCACTGAGAGAGCAGAGCTGTGAGGTGTAGGTGTGCTCCCCTGGGACGGGCCTGGCCATGGTGCTCTTCTGTGGGAAAACTGTTGTTTCTTCCCCAGTAGTTGACCTGTGCCATCTCTCTGTTTTTACTGGGATGAGTATGAATTACTGTCTAGTGCAAATTTCAGGGAGGAAGAGAGGGTTGGAAGGGTCCTCACTTGCCTAAGCTGACCCCTCCCTGTCTCCTTCCCTTCCTCAGGGTCTTGCAGGAACCTGCACCCAGATTCTCTTGAACCAGCATGGACGACCCCCAGGACAACACTGCGGATCATTCTGCTGGGAAAAACAGGAACTGGGAAAAGTGCGACAGCAAACACCATTCTTGGGAAAAGAGCATTGGATTGTAGAATTGGTCGTAAGCCTGTTAACAAGAGCTGTCAGAAAGCATCTCGGGACTGGAAGGGGAGGAAGCTTGTTGTTGTGGACACCCCAGGGCTCTTGAACACCAAGGAGACATCGAGGACCACCTGTGAGGAAATCAGGAGGTATCTCTCGTACAGCAGCCCCCGGCCTCACGCCATCATCCTGGTTGTACAGCTGGGCCGCTTCACGCAGGAGGAGCAGAATACAGTTGAATTGATCAAGGACATCTTTGGGGAGCACGTCATGAAACACATGATCGTCTTGTTCACTCGAAAAGAGGACTTGTGTGGTCAGATGCTGAGTTACTTTATAGCAAGGACAGACAAGCGCCTGAAAGCCATCATCAAGGAGTGTGGGTTACGCTGCTGTGCCTTCAACAACAGAACGGCAGATGAGGCTGAGAAGGAATCCCAAGTGCAGGAGCTGGTGGAGCTGATCGACATAATGGTGCAGGAGAACGGAGGGGCTTACTCTTTGGATGTCATCTACAAGGAGGAACTTCCGGAAAAGGAAGACTGTGTTATCCTTTAGAAAGGAAAAAACTGGTAGAAGAGCGTATGCTTAGCAAAAAATGTGAAAACAACATATGGGGAAAAAGTAAAATCCCTAAAGGAAAAATATGATAAGTTGAAAATACAGACACAGAAGCCAAAAGAAACATATTTGCAGATGTTTTCAATGACCTTTGGAGTGTGCTTTCAAATATATGGCATAGGTTGTGGAAATCATGCAAATTTTATTTTTTTCTTCTAAATTGACTAATATTCGTCAGCATGGCAGAAAGTATGTTCCAAAGATGGCTGTAGCGATTTTTTCTGTCCCACCTGTTTTTCTTGTACTCTGAGCTGTTGCTCCTTCTGTTGGGTTATGAGGACTCTACCCCCTCCTTGAAATTCCATGGACTCTGTGACTGCTTTGATGAGTAGTGGCTGGTCTGATTTCTGAAGTTAGACAGGGACAGTGTCACCTTGCTCTCTGCGGTAGGCGCACTTGGAACATGGCTCCCGTGCTGTGAGAAGCCCATGTTGCCCATTGAGAGGCCCCAGGAAGAGGAATGGAATCCTGGCCCCGTCCCCTGCCTGCTCTTCCATCTGCCAGTGAGACCACCTGCCAGCTGTGCAAGTGTGGGCACAGGGCGGTGGGCTCTCCAGCTGCCAGCAGAGCCGCCTCAAGGGAAGCTGCAGAGAGCAAAGCTGGGCCATCCCTACCACGTCCCGCCCAGTTTCATGAGAAAACTGGGTTTTTCATGAGTAGATTCATGAGAAAAATAAATGATGCTGTTTCAAACCACTAAGCTTTGGGCTGGTCTGTTGTGCAGCGACAGCTCCCCAGAGCATCCTCCCAGCTCGTTCCCCCACCCCCAGAGTGCCAACGCAGGTAAGGAGTGACTGAATGGGCACAGTCAGGCCAGAACACACTGTGTAGAGTTAAAAAACAGAATTTAGGAAAATCCAATAAAAGCCTGTGCGTGCCATGTGTCAGCCCCTCTGGTGGTGCTCCTTTTCTCCATCCAAGTCTACTAGCCCGAGGGCAGTGAAGAGCAGGCCTCTCCAGGAAGATGGTTCTGTGGTCCACGGAGGTCTGACAGGTGCTAAAAATCCTCATATTGTTTTTTTCTCTTTTCTCTTTAAGGGACCATCCTAACATGAAATGTCCCTGACTAAAACTTTAAAATACACTCTGTGCCAATTCTTCTCCTTTCTCTCTGCAGATCCACACTCTGTCCCCCTCAACCCAGCTCTGTGCCCCAGGAGGCGGACCTACGAGGGCCACATGGTTACTGATCTCAGGGTTTGTGCCACTCAGGGTGTTCTGTCCAAGGACAAGACTCTGTGGCCCTCACACATGTGGCTCAGCTGGGTGGTCGTCATTTCCCAAGTTTGATTCGTGGCCAGGGCACAGGACTGGGTTGTGGTTTCCTTCCCTGGTGGGGTTGTGTATGAGAGGCAACTGATTGAAGTGCTTCTCTCACACTGATGTTTCTCTCCTCCTCTTCCTCCCTCCATTCCCCTCTCTCTAAAAATAAATAAGTAAAATAAAAGGAAATGAGACATGGTTGTCACAAGGTAGAATGATTTATTTGCAGCCCACGAAGGAGACGGGGATTTCACATCCTAAGGTCACTCTTTGGGATGGAGGCGGAGCCAGTGCTCATGTGTGCTCACTGGTCAGTGCCACATCGGCCTCCTCTTTGCAGTTGGCTGCACTTACCTGGGGGCGCTCCTGCCAAGTGTGTCCTGCTTACAGCTGGTCTGCAGACACCGCACTGCTGTGAACATGTGGTGAGAACAGCGCTGAGTGAGAGGGGCCCCGACCTGAGGCCCCTGTCCTGTCTGTCCACGTCGATGGGATCCCTGGCTCTCTGAGTCTTGCTGGGCTCCTGCCAGTGGGAAGTCCGAGCAGGAGGCCTCCTCAGGGTAGAAATGTGAGGCCGGGGTATCTCCTATCCTGCCTCCCTCCCTGGAAGGTCATCTCTGACCTGCTGCAAGACTAAGACAAAGGTCACACCTCTTCTACCACCTGCCCTTCTGGGTTCCAACTCTCTTTCACCCCCTTAGGGTTAGGGTGTCATTTCTTCACTGTTACCAGCAGTGTCCCTTGTCACTTGCATACCCAGTGTCCACCACCTGTAGGAAACCCCTGCACTTGACTCTCCCGCAAGTACTTCATTAGAGGACCTGATCCGTCTGAGCCATATCCACAGTCAGTTCTCTTTCAGACACACCCTGATCTTTATTGTTGTATTTGTAAAAAATCCCCTCCAGTGCTTTCTGACACCAGAAACATTTCTCCTGAGAGCTGAACTCTGTCATTGTCCAAGCAGAGTGCTTTGCGTTCATACCTGATGAGTGTGCAAATGTATCTCATTTACTGAATCGCACGAGGATAGAAGTCAACACCCTGAGGGATCCGAACCCCTGCCTGGGGGGCTTGCTAAGTCAGTGGTTCGGGTCCTGGGGCTCTGGGTGTAAAATGTTGTTCCTGATTTTGGGTCCTTACCTGTGTTTTCTCTCTCACGGGACTGCAGTAGTGCTGTGGCATCTAGGAGAGCAGCCACCAAACGAGCCACCTCTGAGCTCATAATGCCCTTTGCTGCCCTCTCGGGGCCCACTGCAGAAGAAGGGGGGCATGTGAAGTTATAAGGGTGGTCAGCAGGGGTGGAGTATGGGTGACAGATGGGACAAGGGTCTCAGCCTGGGCTCTTCCTCCTAATTGCTAAATCGTAACACTGTGTTGAGCAGAGGAGCTGAAATGGGAAGAGCTTGACCTGGGCCATGACTGATGGGTGAGCGCTGCAAAGAGGGGCTCAGCCGGGAACTGCCAGGACGGTGGGTGTTGGTGAAGGTGGAGCCTCCCCTGGGAGAGGCCAAGCTTTGGAAATCATTCCCCTGTGTCCCCCACTGTCTCACGTGAAAGGAGACCTGTTTCTCCCATCAAGGCTGGTGTCCCTTTGGCACCCACACTAGGAGTGGTGAACCCACTGTGTTCTGTTACTCTGGGGAGGTCATGGGGAGGATGTGACCTCCAGTTGACCTGAAAGCTGGACCCAGCTCCCCATCCCCCCAAACGCCAGCCTGTCCTTGTCCTCAGAATGTGTGTTCAGCTCACACTGTCACTACCCAGGAGCTGCCTCAGGGACTCGGCCTTGAGAGAGTGATGTGCTGTTGAGACCTCCTGTGTGGTGCACGTGACTCAGCCCAGCTAGGGGTCTATATACACTCTTCAGACCTGGCAGGTGCACCACACATTTGTCTTGGAGACCAATCAAGACCAGCCTTGTAAGTAAGCTCCTTGTGCATTAAACTGCCAGTGCCCCATCTGTGGTGGTCTACTGTGGTCCGGGGTGTCTCCCGTCTCCATATGAGGGCTGGTGTCACCTTACTCTGGGGAGGTGGACTACCTACATCAGCTTTGAAAAGAGCAGTCTCCCCTATGATTATAAACAAATAAGAAAAACGGAGTGCCTAAAGCAACTGTTCTCAGGTTCTTTCTTCCTGTTAAAAAGCATGCTGATTTTCCAAAACTCTTCCTAAATTGGGATTTGGAATCAGCAAATGGCCATGCCACAGAAAATCATCATCATCTCCTGCTCCGGATCTGAGCCCTCAGCTCTGAGTCCGGGTCTCAGCCCCTCACGTGTTCACATCAGGGACACTGGGGAGCATGTCCCCGAACAGCACAGAAGTGGGTGGGGAGGTGGGGGGGGAGAGGGTGGGGGTGGGCAGGGGTGACTGCCGGGCATGAGGAGCAGACTCAGGGTCTGGCTGTGGAGATGGGGTCCCTGGTGGAGACACATGGGAAACTCAGGCTGCTGTCTACTGTCACTACAGGCAGTAAGTTATGCATCAAAAATGCTTATTCCCATCATTTCCAATTTAAATTGGGTCATTTGTCTTTTTATTATGACATGTAAGTATTCTTCCTACATTCTGTTCTTTTATTCTTTTTAAACATTTTATTTTATTAATGAATATGCTCTTACAGTTGTCCTGAATTTTCCCCCTTTGCCCCCTCCACCCAGCACCCCCCACACCCTCAGGCCATACCCCCACCATTGTTCATGTCCATGGCTCATACGTACAAGTTCTTTGGCTGCTCCATTTCCTCTACTGCACTTTATACCCCCATGGCTGTTCTGTAAGTACCCATTTGTACCTCTCAATCCCCTCACCTCTTCACCCATTCCCCAATTCCCCGCAACCATCAAAACCCTCTCTGTATCCACGGTTCTGTCTCTGTTTTTCTTGTTTGCTTAGTTCATTTCTTAAATTCAGTTTTTGATTGATAGGTATTTTTTGCCATTTTATTGTTCATAATTTTGATGTTCTCCTTTTTCTTAAATTAATTCCCTTTAATATTTCGTATGATAATGATTTGATGGTGATGAACTCCTTTAGTGTTTTTGAGGGGGGTTGGAGAGATATTTATCTGCCCTTCCATTCTAAATGACAGCTTTGCTGAGTAGAGCAATCTGGATGTAGGTCTGTGCTTTGCATGACTTTGAATATTTCTTGCCAGTCCCTTCCAGCCTGCAAAGTTCCTCTTGAGAAATCAGTGGAAGTCTTAGGGGAACTCCCCTGGGGGTCACTAACTTGTTTTCTCTTGCTGCTTTTAAGATTCTCTCTTTCTCTTTACCTGTTGGCATTTTGGTTATGATGAGTCTTGGAGTAGGCCTCTTTGCATCCATCTTGTTTGGGACTCTCTGTGCTTCCTGGACTTGCATGTCTATTTCCTTCACCAAATTAGGGAGGTCCTTAATTGTCTGGCACAAACATAAGTCTGATATTAGTAAGTGTTCCCTGTGGACTTGAAAACAACTGAGTGAAATTTGATGAAGCATCTACATATGTGCAGTAGGTCAAGTACATTACTTAGGTTGCTTCTATCTTCTGTGTGATTTTCTTTTTTTGCATTCTTAATTTGTCTTCCCTAGTGAGACTGAGAAATGTGTATTTAACCTGTCATCATAAATGTAGATTTGCCTCTTTCCTCATGTGATTGAATTACTCCCTTTATAAAAGTGATGCCTCTTTAGGTGGTACATGTAAGTATAAAGGCATGTTTGACCTTGGCGAGTGGGGCTTTGTAGTTCTGCTTCACTGAAGTTCATCACCACTACTACTGAGGTTCAACCTGCCTTCTCTTCTCACCATCCTTTTTAATGTACTCCCTGGTTTTCTTTCTAACCTAAAGGAATATCTCAGATGTTTTATAATTTACAAATTTATTCCTTTTTAGTTTGTTTTCTGTCTCTTCAAGGAACAGTGGAAGATCCAAGCCAAGAATCTTTACCTGTGGTTATTTGAGGTGCCCACGTGCCTAGAATGGTGCCTGGCACATGACGTCCTCTCAGTAAATGTGGCATGGAAACCCTGATTTGTTTGGCAGTTTGTTCTCACTGGTTCAGAATTTAATTGCTGTTTTTGCCTAAACTTCTGCTTTCTACCTTTCTCTGGTTTCATGCTTTAGATTCAAATTTCTTTTGCAAGTCACTAAAAAAAATTCATTTTTTTACCTGAAAACTTTGTCCATTTATCATAATGTGACGAGGTGTTGAGCTGAAGGTCTCTGAAATAGAGATGTCCCCCACCAACCTTTGGGAGATAGAGAAGGTGGAGGACCGCCACTGAGAGGTACTTTGCAAATCTGTGACAACTTGTCTAGTTTAGTAGTTATGTTAACAGCTGTGCTTACACCCAGGACAAGGGAGATGGACGTGACTTTCTGGATGTGTCCTGGGATCTTACAGAGTGGGAGGAGGTCCCCTGCTACAGTGCCTGTGTGAGAGGCCTGGACTGATCATGGCACCAGAGAGACTGCGCACTGCGCAGAGGACTGGCAGAATGTAGTCCATCACGGGTCAGGGTTTAAACGAAGGTGGGCAGCCATGAGGAGAGATTCAGCCCCGTGGGGAGGAGCAGTG